GCGACTTGCGAGGCCGCTGCGGGACCTCGGAGGCCAGGGGGGCCCGCGGGGGGCCCCCCCCAAGGAAAGAGAAGAAGGAAGACAATGGGAATGGGACCGGCGGTTTAAAGGGAATGACAGGAGGAACCTCCTGAAGAGTCAAGCGGCACACAAACTAGTGAGGGAAAAAAGATTTAGTCCGGAAATGACACAGGTCCTTACAGGTCATGGGCCTTTTGCCGAATACCTGTACCGGTTTAAAATTAAAGACAAATCTGACTGCGAGTGTGAGAGTGGGGTGGAACAAACCATCCCACACCTTTTGATAGAGTGCCCCAGGTGCGACCTGGAACAGAAGACAGGCATGTCGCTTAGTCTGAAGGGACTGCCGGACATGCTGGCCTGTGACAGATCGCACCTGAAGGATTTTTGCCTAAAAATAACTAAGCGCACCGCAGAGTTCAATGGAAGTATGGCCGGGGCGGGGACCGCGAGGCGGCCGGCGCCCACTTGCTAATGGGTATTATGAGAATACTCACGGAGAAGTAAAAGCCGCCCGCCTCGCGGGCCACGTCTCACGATAGGAATATTTAGAAGAAAATAAATAAATAGGATAAGGAAAGAGAAATAGGAATAAAAATAAAAAACTGTAACTGTGATATTGTAATGTGTAAAACCTAATAAAAATTAAAGTTGTTGTCTATTATTATGAGGAAGGATGTAAGAAATGACGGAAGTTTAGCTTAGTCAACGCCCCTGGCGATAAAGTAGCCGGGGAAGGTAGGCCTATTAGGTGCAAAAAAAAAAAAAAATAACCTAACCTAACCTAACCTAACCTAACCTAACCTCGTCGAAGACGTAATAGACAATCACTCACCTCTTATGTCGTGTTGGCCATGTTACAACATTGCGTTTTATATTACATCTAGCGCCATCTATTAAAACATGAAATTTAGATTTCCCATTATAATTCACACGTACAAGAAATTCTTTGTAGGCCGCCATTTGCCATACTTTTATTTTATTATATCATTGGTATTATATCTATGCAACGAAGATCCCTTGATCTTGACGATTCAAAGGTGTACTTGGTTACCATGAAAAAGATATTTTGAGTTTGAGTTTGAATCGAACCTAAGGACACGTCCGCCTACGTCACTCAAAAGTAGGAAGACATGTAATTTAAAGCGTATCGTTGACCAATTAAATAAAATAAAAAATCTAAGGGCCTTAGATACATTGGGCGAATCCACTAAACATTGGGATACTTTATTGGTTTACCTAATAACTCAAAAGTTAGACACAAAATCATTTCGAGAATGGGAGGAATATAAAGGCCCACCGACACACGTATTGAACTTTTACACTTATTAGATTTCTCACGTGTTCGCATTACTTTATTAGATTCAGTTGAACACAAGACAAATTCAAAAAAAAAAAATTAAACCTAGTCACAAAATAATGACGTTTCAGACTAATAAGCCTATCGTTAATAAAAATCATTTGGTATGTCCTAAATGTAAAGGCGAGCATAAACTAAATAACTGTTCTGATTTTTATCTTTACGGTTGAATTATTGCCTTCAATTAAAAGTTTGCTTTAATTGTTTTTCAAAAACTCATTTTTCCAATAATTGCAAGAAACCAGGTTGCTCGATATGTAATAGAAAACATTCGGTATTAATTCACATTCCAGATAAGACGAAGCCGGTAGTACGTGGTGAGCATGCCGACAGCGCCGCGTTTTTCTCTACCAGTGATCACAATGTGTGAACTTTAGCGTCGAGTGTGTCTGCCGCGAGAGGTGTTGCATGCGCCCGCGCTTACGTCATGCTTTCAACTGCACTCGTTAAGTTGTACGATAAGAACAATCGGGAAGTTATCTACCTACGTCAAATAATTTAAGCCTTAATAATATTCAGATGGTAGGTCCAACAGTTCAGGACGATCTTGTGTCCATTCTTTTGAGGTTTAGACACCACAAGTACGTGATTTTAGCCGACGTTGAAAAGATGTATCGCCAAATTATCGTTCACATTAACGATAGGTACTTGCAAACTATCCTTTGGCGTGATAATCCGTCACAACCGTCAAGAGCATTTCAATTAAATACGGTCACTTATGGCACCGCAAGTGTGCCATTTCTTGCAGGTGCCTTAAGCAATTAGGACTCAAGTGTAAGGACCCTCAAATCGCTAATATTATATTACATGATTTATATGAGATAAGATTACGACTACCCTTGCCTCTGGTCACTTACCACTAAGGAAATGGAAATCTAATGAGCCTCAGTTAGTTTTTAGAGTCCAAACGAGTCCACGCATGATTTAAATGTTGGCGGTAATGAGCCGAGTAAAACCTTAGGCTTAGGATGGTTACCGGAATCAGATAAGTTATATTTTCCTATTGGTCCATCTTTTGCAAAGAAAGCAAGTACGAGACGGGAGTAGGTGTCTATAATTTCCCAAGTATTTGACCCACTTGGCTTATAGTTATTAAATTTAAAATTATTTTACAAAGTTTATGGTTAAAAAATATTTCATGGGATGATCTTTTACCTACGGATATTCAAGTTGCTTGGCTAAATGCCATTAAAAATATAACATTTTAAATAATTTACGTTTATCACGACGCGTATTGATTGATTCATATAAGCGATTAGAAATACACATATTTTCCGACGCATCGGAAAAGGCGTTCGTAGCACTGACAGTAACGGCAATAGTTCAGTTCAGTTATTATACGCTAAATGCAGAGTAGCGCCCATTAAACCTATAACAATCCCTCGTCTTGAATTGTGTGGTGCTCAAGTAGCTGCAAAACTTTTTAAAAAAGTTTGCGAATCATTGCGAGTGAAAATTGCTAAAAGTATTTTTTGGACAGACTCGTCTATCGAGGTTGGTTGGTTGAATATGCTTCCTAGTAAATTGAATTCATTTGTACGCAATAGAGTAGGTGATATTTAAGAAAATACCGGTAGCTGAGAATGGCGTCATGTCTCGTCCGAGCATCACTCGGCGGATTTATTATCACGTGGAGTTTGGGTCGAAGATATTCAATCGCTTGATATGTGGTGGTCAGGGCCACCGTTTTTAAAATTACCCGAAAAAAATTGGCCCATTACTGCTATTAAGTTAGAAATATTGCCTGAATTACGTAATCAAAATTGCGCATTTGTTTCATGTGATATGCCTACATTCGTCAACTTTAAACGGTTTTCGAACTTTATTCGATTACGTCGATGTGTTGCCTATGTATTGAGATTTATAAGAGCTTGTAAAGGACAACGAGCAGAAACTACTTTTCTTACAGAAACTGAATTAATGAGTATAGTATAGTTCGAGTAGTTCAAAAGGAATCATTTGCTGAGTATAACATTTTAGAACAAAAGAAAAATTTGCCTTCAAAAAGTTCATTATTAAAATTTAATATTTTTCTTGATGAAAACAGTTTATTGAGAGTTGGCGGTCGAATTAATATTTAACTCAGAATTTTAGTATAATAAAAAATACCCTTTGTTATTACAGTCCACTCATCGTTTTACACTATTATTATTTCAATATGAACATATTTGGCTTATGCACGCTGGACCGCAGCTACTGTTAGCATCAGTTAGAGAAGTCTACTGGCCAATCGGTGGTCGTAACCTTGCTAAATCTACATACAGAAGGTGTGTTTTATGCACACGTATAAAAGGTCGGATAATTGCTCCTATCATGGGTGATCTACCTAAAAATCGTCTTATTCCTTGCGGACATCCATTTGAGACTGTAGGAGTGGACTATGCGGGTCCTATCGCATCCGTTAGTCGTCAAGGTCGTGGTTGTCGTATCGTCAAGGTTTATATCATCGTTTTTGTTTGTTTTACCACTAAAGCTTTGCACTTGGAATTGGTGCGTGGTTTATCAAGTAATAATTTTATTTCTACACTTCGACGGTTTATTGCTCGCCGCGGTAAGCCACAACACATTTACTCTGATAATGGTACGACGTTTGTAGGATCTTACAACGAAATAGCCAGTTTTCTCAAGCAAAATTCTAACACACTTGCTAATGATCTAATAAATGAAGGAATTAATTTCCACTTTATACCTGCTTATTCGCCACATTTCGGAGGAATATGGGAGTCGGCAGTCAAATCTACTAAATATCATTTAGTTTAAATCGATTTAAAAGAACAGAACAACTTCATATATACATTGACTATTTCTTTACATTCCGTATTTTAATAAATTAATTATCGTTTAATACATTTACAAATTCACACAAAAACATTCTTATTTAATAGTTTGGGAGCATTTTGGAATTAGTGTAACTTTTTAAAGGAATTTATTTATTCCTAGCAAAGAATGTCGCGTCAGAGATTAGCTGAACTGAATTTATGATTTTAAGAAATTAATACAATGAATAGAAAATAAATACTTCATTAAGAAATAAATAACAATAACAAAAAGCGTCTGAAAGCACGTATGGTATACATGTGTATGCTACACACGCAACGGAACATGTTTCAAATCCAAAATAGGCCTTTAACTGAATATTGTGGATACATCTTGTCGATTCCAAACTTTGATTTAATTTGAGAGGAGAGTTTACCGTATCGACCCATGATTTTTTATTGATTTTTTTTAGATTTCCAATGTTTTTAATATTCCCTACTTTATTTTATTCTATATTTATTCGAGACCGAGACAAATACATCAAATCAAAAGCCTTAAATAGGTTCAGCCGTTCTCATTCTCATATTGAGATCGTTCGCGACGAGCGGGTGAAAGTAAAAAATAAAGAGAATAATTTACAATGAATAATATCATTTATTTGATCAAATGCATCTAATGACGCTCGCGGTGCGGTACGACTCATCTTTTGTACCGACCGTCCCGACATTCAAAATAAATAGATAAGCTAAGTGCGTTCGGGACTAACGCTATTGTACCAACCGAAAGACATTTTATGTACCCGTAGCACCTGAGCGACAAGAGAAAAGAAAACGAAGAGAAACGCGACGGAAGCGCCCCGCGGTCACACGTGGTGGTGCGCGCGCGCAGCTGCGGGGCCGCACTGCAGGAAGTCGGCCAGGTTGCGCAGCGGGCCGCGGCTGAACGGCGAACGGCCGCCCAGCGCCTGGAAGTGCGGGTATCGTCCGCGGTTGAGCTGCTCGTTGGTGGTCATGCCGAGGCACACAACCAGGTAGAGCTGGCAGCCGCTCAGCACCGACACCCAGAACAGGTGAAACAGCGCATTGAGCAGCACCCACGCCAGCCACGCGTCGCACTGCGGCCAGGCCAGCGGCTCCGGGCCGCACGAGGCGCGGTAGTAGCGCACGCCGCCCCACACCATCCAGCCGCACATGGCCAGCAGGCACAGCAGGAAGCCCACGAAGTGGCGGTGATTGCCGACGCCGATGCAGTTGCCCACCCAGGGGCAGTGGTGGTCGAAGCGCGCCACGCAGCGGTTGCACACGGAGCAGTGCTTGGAGCGCAGCGGCCGCCGCACGAGGCAGGCCGAACAGAAGCGCGCCGCCTCGAAGGCGCCGCCGCCGCCGCGCTCCGACAGCTCCACGATGGTGCGCAGCTTGTCGGCCCGCGACGCCGCGATCACGCCGGGGTCGGAGCGCCACGAGCGCAGGAACGTATACCACAGGAGCGCCGAGCTGGCCAGGAAGCCGAAGGTGGCCGCGCCGCTCACGGCAGGTGCGATCACCACCATCCACGTCACGTAGAACCACAGCTTCGTCGCCATGTACACGCTCAACGGTAATATGTTCTTCAGCTCGTCGTCGAAGAGCGAGTTGGTGGTGAAATGCAACGAGGCGTAGAAGAAGACCAGGATGAGCGCCTTGACCGGAAGCGGGACGTCGGTCTCCACCACCAGCCCCGTCACGTAGAACGCCAGAAAAGGCAGGATCACCACGCACCACCATCGGAATTTCTGCAAAGTTCGATATTTCAGCTCGAGTCGCGGCGGCCAGTGCGAGTGACGCCACCGAAAATACCCACTCTATCGTACGTTATCCTTCGTAAAAAGTTACTCTTTGAGGTAGACAGTTCTCGAACCCTTTCTGAAACTTTGCTGCCGACCCAAATTGCTTTGGGATCGCTCTGGAGCATACTCAGCGGGGTGGCGCCTCGGTGGTTTGGTATGTCCAGGCTCGCATTGCCCTGTATAAATCGAAGCGGTGTAAAAGGAGAGCATAAAACTAGAAAAAATAAGTACAAATCGGAAGACTAGACGTACGTAAAGAACTAAAGTACATATGGCCGTCGTGTTTCTCGCTAGAATTGCCCAGTGCAGAGCCGTGTTGCCGTGGGATTGGTCCTGAGGATTAGGCGACGCGCCGAGCGAAAGCAACAGACGGCAGGGATCCACCGAGGTGACCTTCCAGGCGGCCCACATGAGAGGAGTCATGCCTCCCGCGTCGGGCGCGTCGGGCTCAACGCCACGCGCCACTAGGTACGCCACGACTGCTGTGTGGCCATACTGCGCCGCCAAATGCAAGCTTCCACAGCCTTCGGCGTCGCGCAGGGTGGGGTCCGCCCCCGCGCGCACCAATAGCACAGTCGCCTCAAGGTGGCCCTGTCGGGTAGCCCACTGCAAGGGTGTCGATTGAAGCTCCCCACCGATAGCATCGACCTTGGCACCTTTTGAGAGAAGGTATTCTATTATCTCTCGTCTGAAAAAAAAAACATACGTATTATATAATATTATTGTAATTCCCTACAGTTCTATATTGCAACAATACATGGATATATTAGATCAGACCCTCTAACCCTCGATAAACTTCTTTGGAAAAAATCTACATTAGTGCAATTAGTATAATTTCTTGCATTTAGATTTTCTACTTAAAACTTAATTTTGTCTAAAATTTGTATTTATTCATAGACTCAAAATCAACAGATTAACTATGTATGTATGCAAAGAATCAGTCAATCTCAATAAGTTTGTGATATTGTGAAATTGTAAATCAGTGGTTGCGCACCTGTTGTTGATGGCAGCCCAATGGAGAAGAGTTACAGTCTCATAATCAGGCTGGTTTACGTCCCAGCCAGCCTCAACTAGCTCTTTAACACGATTATAGGCGCCGTATTGCGTCGCTTTGACGATATCAAAACCACTGTAGTCCTGCTCAACAGGCGCCGGGGGAGGATCCCGCGACGTAACTCCATCGCAATCGTGCTGTGGGGCTCCACACTGACCGCTTGCAGCCGCACCGCAAGTACTATCATACATTATACCTCAACCCTTACAATAGAATAGAAGCTTAATCATTATTATGTCATTTTAAGGAAGCCACTCTGTAAATCAATACATTATTAGACATCAGTCCAAAACTTTCAAAGTGCTTTATCACATAGAAACAATATCCCTTCCAAATTATGAAATCCAAAATACATATACCGTATCAAGGCAGTGAAACTTAATTATTACTACAAATTTGTTATTTTAATTACTACTATTTTATTATGTTAAAACTTAAATCACAAACTGCACAAAAACAGAACACTACAATCACAGACCAATGTTGAAACTAGAGTACTAGACGTATTGTCAATTCTCAAATAAAGTACTGTCTATAGAGTTTAGATCATCTATAGAAGGAATATGGATCTAAAGCTTGGCCACACAAGAAACAAGCAATAGTTTTTACAGTGGCAAAAATTGCCCCATATTGGGTAAAATTATTACCAATTGCCTTTTTTGTGGAAATCTCTAGGGAAGCCTATGTCCAGCCATGGACGTCTGTTGGCTGATTAGATATATTATGATTATCCTTTTACTATTGATTACTATTACAAGGTAGAAAATTAGATATCGCGACAAACTAAGACGGATATAGGGTGGGACAAACTTAATGCTTTTCTTAGTAGAATTCGTGTAGGTAGAGGCACGTCTTTGGATATATAGGCTTACAATAATAAAGTATAGGTCAACCGTCAACCGGAACGCATGGCATAAAACAAAATTAAAAAAAATAAAAGGGTGCGTATACTTATGTACGCGCGTAAGAAGTTATACTTCTTTGGCTTTCTCTATTTTTTTAAAATATTAAATAATTAATAACAAATATTTAACGTTAATAATTTAATAATATTTAGTATATTATTCAATTATTAATTAATATTAATAATAATTATTATTTTATTATATTATTCATTCAATTTAATATCTACGTATGTTTCATAACCTTTTAACTAAGTAACAATAGGTCTTTGTGAAAAAGCATTGTTAAATTTCTTTGAAAAAATAATTAAAACCCCTTTATTTGTTTTAAAGGTAAATGTCATTATGTTCATTCAAAATTCTTGGCATAGCTGCTAACTTCACGCATATTCTATTTCTTTTACTTGTAGATTGTCTTATTCCCATCTCGCTCGCGCACGCTATAATCTCACTGACAACTTTGTGTCTCGGTGCGCGCGCATCGTAAAATTTCACTCTCATCAATTTTTCATAACGTTAGGCGCGTTATGAAAAATTGATAAGAAGTATAACTTCAAAAATTATATTTTCATATGGCAATGTCAAGTATCACTACTACTAGATATACGGCGAATCGTAGAGTAGTAGAGGGCACATCGAATGATGGTGTGTTTTCACGCCTGGTTGAAAGAGGAGAGGGGTGAAGAAGAAAATAAACTTGGATAGTTTCGATTTACAGTTGATTGGGAATAAAGTTAAGGAATTCTATACCTACAGTTCGGAAGGAAATTCTAACCGTAATGAAACTGTTACAAATATTAAATATGAAAATTGATATTGATTTCAACGTAGGAAGCGAATTTCTAAGGTTAGAAAAATATTAAGTAATAATCCCTCTCACTCTGATGCGTTAGAAGAAGCCTCTGCCCTACAGTGAGATTTATATAGACATGATGATGATGAATGACTAAGCTATTATTTGAGTAACATGATACATGTTATATTTTTTACAGACTTATTATACTTAAAGAGATTGGTTTTGAATATGTAACCATTTTGATGGAGAGAGATGGCATAAAACTTCAAAGATTCACGTTTTCAAAGCGGATATAGGAAAACCACAAAGCTGAAGAGCATAATAAATTTTGTGATTTGATTTTTTTAGACGAGACACACTCACGGTTCATGTTCTGTGAATAAGTGCTGGCGCAGCAGAGATATTGCAGGTCCATCTAAAATCATTTCACTTGGAGCGAGGTGGATCATTGTAAACGCTAGTGAAGAAAATGGCATAGTACCAAATGTTTGCCTAGTATACAGGTCAACACAGTATATATACAGGTGTATCTGCTGACTACCGCCTCGATATGAATAAAGATAATTTTACAAAATGGGTAACAGAGAATTTATTTCCAAATTAACAAGACCTTCATTATTTGTTAAGGATAATGTTAGTTATCAATCCATTCAAGAACAAACCACCCACACAAGCCAATCGTATCACTGATATAAAAGAATGGCTCCGTGCAAATAAAAATTATGATGATGTTTGGCGTAAATGTCAACCGCTTGAAGTAGTGAAACAATTAGATAAATAGTTAAAGTATAATAATCGCACTTTCATGAAATTTTAAGACTCTCACCTTATCATTGCACATTGAATCCCATAGAAATGATTTGGGGTAAAATAAAGCAAAAAGTTTCTGATAAATATGTAAATAGACCTGCAATTGTCTTAAAATTATTAGGTAAGTAAAGGAGCTTTCTGGTCACAAATTGGTGCAGAATATTGGCGAAAATGTTAACATGTAAAGAAAATTTAAAACGATTTCATCAAACAAGATATAATAATTGAAATGCTGGAAGAGCGATTTATAATTATGACCTCCTTATCTTCATCATCTGATGAAGAACAAAAATGCAAGTGGAGTTCTTGGGATTGTTTCTAGTTCTAAATGAAGTTTTAAGTCATTTGTATGATTGCAATAATATATAATAAATTAATACATAAAGTAATTTACGATTTATTTATTTATTTATTTACACTTCGTTGCTAAAAAAAAATAAACACAATACATAAAAATTATAATCGATGCCACGGGCGGCCTTATCGCTAATAAGCGATCTCTTCCAGGCAACCCTAGTTAAAGAGAAAAACTAAAAAAAAAAAGAAACATGATGCGTGCGAGAAGTGCAGAACCAAATGTTATATAAAAATATATATAAATATATATATTTATAGTACCTTAATCTAAAGTAATCCAAAAAAAAATATTAATAACAGACTAAAAACTTAAAAGCTAATCATACTAATACATGAACAGTGAATAGTGATGTAAAAGGAAACATAAGAATTATACAAGTCACGATTGATCAGGATAGGATAAGGTTAAGAAATGATTATACAGAAGAGTTTTAAAAGATGACAGAGAGGTTGCCAATCGTACGGAGTCAGGCAGCATATTCCACAACTTAATGGCGGAGATCGTAAATGAATTGCCTAAGAATGATGAAGTGTGGGATGGATGTTTATTTATTTTTCATGGCATATTTTCCCATCTTAAGAACCGTATAACATAAATCTTTATACAAATAAGTTATATACTTCATGTTCATAAATACTAAAGACATTAATGAAAATTAAACAGTATCAAGATCAATTAATCCAATTTCAATTTCCCCAGTATTGCCCACAACTAATTTTTATTTCCCAATTTGTTATTCTCTATCTATCAACCAAAGTCATCATGGATCCATCTAGATTATCTGAGTATCAATTATATAAAATGTTCCTCTGTGAAATACAAACTAATACAACTACTACAACCGATAAAAAGAAAAATGTTCGGAAATGCGAGGAATATCAGTCAGTACTTAGCCACGTTCAATCTTTTTAGCCGTGTACTAAACTTTTAGAGTAATTAAGTACCAATATATCATTTTGATCGCTATGTTACTGCAATTCTGTTTTATGCATTTTATAGTTTAAACTCGGTCATGTAGATATCATCATATCATAATCAACAATGTCTATTCTGTAAAAGGCCAAAAGTATTGTCTTTGTAATATACTTGTCAGTTGTCATAATCAGGATACTATAGTAGCTAGTCTACTGTTTATGGTCAGCAGTTCATTGACTTGATTCGTTCTCTTTCGGATTTCGGAGTCAGACTTCAAACCAATAACCATTCAAACTTCAAAGTTGTTTCCAAGTGTTCGCTTGTCGCGTTTTAGTGCGTTACAGTGCGTGTGCTTTCGACTATTGAGCTTCATCGCCTCGTAAGTTTGTGTAAATTATATTTTAATGAATAATGCAGGCTCAAACATCACTTGAAGGAGTGTTATAGGTAGATGATTTTTATATTGCTTAGATAAAGGACGAAGACCGCTCAAGATCATTCGATCGGTTCGTGTCGATGCGTCACCTTTGTGAGCCATTTTAAAAGTTCTTCTTAAACTAAAAAGGTTTTCGTTTTATTTTGTTGATGAATGTCAACACGTATATGTCCAATAATACTGTATTAAAATGAATATTCTATTTTAATGTGATGCCTCAATAACGCCGTCCTGAAATTACGAAATTATAACCAAAACTTCTTTGGATTGAAGATGAAACACGGTGGGAACGTCTATAAGTGACGCTTACGTTAAAGGGAAAGCTGCGAAGGATGTTAATTCTCGATCTATTTTATAAAAATTGTTTTGTTCTCTTGAATCAACATTGATATTTATTGCTATGATGGATGGTTAATTATTTTTCCCATGTTTACTTATGTTCTTTATTTAAGCTTATAACAAAATATGTAAATACCCCATAAATATGGCAGATCACTAAATAATTGTCATAAAAAGGAAGATCTGTTAAAATTAAAAAGGTGTCTTGTTTTTCAATTTCAGTGTATAATATGTACCCACTTTACAGTTACACCCACATTACAAAGAAAAGCATTCCTAGGTCATAATAAAGGTATAAAGAATAAATTAACAATGATTAACAATTATAAAACCAAGATTCTATTTAATTCCTTGATTTTAAATCATAAGAATTGTTAGAGTACTCAATGTTACTTAATGATATAAACAAAACATATTTTTTTAAGAATAAGAAATGAGTTACAACCTTAAGATTAAGAACAACTGCTTAGAATAAAATCAGAAGCCATCAAACAAAAACCCAAAAAAAAAATTAAGTTGTATCTTTCTTGTGATTAGTGATAATAATTTTATTTATCAAACTGTTTTCTAGTTCTTTATAGCCGATGGTGAAAATAATAAAAAATCTTTATTATTTAAATGATATATTATTTCTTTTAAAAATCAAAAGACCTGTTTTTGTGCCAGTATTCCATGTTTCATTGCCAGTTACTTGGTCACTGTTTTATATATTATCTTAGTTCCTAGTGATTAATAGGAGATTATAAAACAGTGAGAGGTTAATGATTATATACCTATACTACTGAAATAACCAAACTGTCTAGCACTAGTTATAAGACATCCATAGGGCATAGTAATTAAATTAGGGCTTGAGACAAAATCGCTATTCAACAGTCGTCACCCACTAACACCAAACAAATTTGTATGAAAATGAGTGAACTAATGTTATTGCCATACAAATTTGTTTAGCGTCAGTGGGGTGACCTGTTGAAAAGTTATTTTGTCTCAAGCCGCTGATTTTTATTACATTTTAACTTAATACCATATGCAAATGTGTTACCTTTAATAGATACTGTAATCTTAATTCTATGATATCAATAATAAGATATTCAGACTTGGTAAGAGTTAAATTGTTATTCATATAATTAAATTTAATAAACCAAACTAGATTCACAATACACCTGTATTGTCACATTGCTGAAAAATCACATTAGATTTGTACTAATAGTATAGCTACAGATTTAATTTTATGTTTATTGTAATGATTAATTTAAATTTAATTCAATAATATTATAAACAGTATTCCACTTTTATTACACTGTTACAACAGTATTGGATGATGAATATAAGATGTTGGAATGAAAGTCAAGTAAAATATTTTTCAAATGCTTAAGAGAGATTAGAAAAATCTTAAAGTTTTTCTCTAAGACTTATAGCTTTAAGATAAAAATAAAGAAAACCCTCTTTTTATTCAAAATTAAAGAAACTATAAAAAGTTACGCATAAAACTTTGGAAATCCCTTTTACATAATTTCAATGCTTACTATAAAGTTAACCATTATCTAGTTAATAAAAGGGCCTGGGACTAGTGCTAGACAGGCAACTTCTAATTAATTTGCGATTTTTGTTTTAAAATAAGTGTTGTTTCATGATTTGCTATTTTAAAAGAGTACCGAGAGTTTTTTACGCCGGCTTTTTCTCTCGGCCTACACCCTCTGTCTTCTTTGCCGATGAGTAGGGATGCCTACAAATTCAAATTTAATGACGTGGAATAAGCGATACATGTATCTTATGTTCCATAATAAACATATTTTATTGTAATAAAAGTATGCAATTTCTTGTCAATTTTGGAAATAGGTTGGACATCAAGAAGGAGTTTTAGGGAATAACTAAGGTGGTGGTGGTGGTAACCCCATTGTGTGACAGTTTAGCGACCGACGTACGCAGCTCTTGACCTTGGCGAGGTGAGGCGTGAGCGGCCGACGACCTCGGTCGCTCAGTCGCTCACTCTTGTTTCGATATCTATCACGCCGCACACGCAAAAATAGAATATCACAATACTTTGTGATGTTTACTCACACCCTTTTCCTTGCACTTGAGTATTTTTCAATATATTTGGAATATGCCCAACGACAGATGCCTAAAAAGATAAAACAGAACAGAACACATAACACGGGCTTGTATTTATTTGTTAAAATATCTATCGTAGTACAAAAAGATATTTTCGCAGCGTGGGGAGGGGTGCGGCACGGCAGAGCGGCGGCAGACGAGCGACAGCACCGGCCGCAAGACGGAGAGCGCGCGGCAGCCGGGGCCCGTGCTGCGCGCCGTGGGGCGGCCCGCGGCCGGCCCGCGGCGGCGCTGGGTCCCGCCATCCACGCTGCGGCACCACGAGGTGTCCGACGGCGACGCCAAGCACGATGTCATCTTCCGCAAGGTAGGTCCTTCGAGTTGGCCTCCACCGGGAGACTCTTACGGTAGCCGCGACCGGCGCTGATGATGGATTTTCGCGTTGCAGGTGCGCGGCATCCTGAACAAACTGACTCCAGAAAAGTTCCAAAAGCTGAGCGATGACCTGCTCGGTCTGGAGCTGGACTCCGACAAAGTGTTGAAGGGCGTGATTTTACTCATCTTCGAGAAGGCGCTCGATGAGCCCAAATATTCGTCGATGTACGCGCAACTGTGCAAGCGACTGAGCGAGGAGGCTCCCAACTTCGAGCCGCCCGGGCTGCCTTGCACTTTTAAGCTCCTACTGCTTAACAAGTGCCGCACTGAGTTCGAGAACCGCGCGCAGGCCTTCGCCGCATACGAGGACCGCGCGCTCGGGCCCGAAGACGAAGAGAAACGCCACCTCGCCAAGTGCAAGATGCTCGGTAACATCAAGTTCATCGGTGAGCTCGGCAAGCTCGAGATTCTCGCCGAATCCATTCTGCATCGATGCATCCAGAAGCTGCTGGCGCGGCGGGCCGCCGCCGATCACCACGAAGACCTCGAATGTCTCGCGCAGCTCGTGCGCACGTGTGGCCGCGTACTGGACTCGGAGCGCGGGCGCGGTCTGATGGACCAGTACTTCGCGCGAATCGCTTCGCTCTCCGCTTCGCCCGAGCTGGCGCCTCGTATTCGCTTCATGCTGCGCGACGTTCTCGAGCTGCGCCGCAGCGGATGGACGCCGCGTAGCGCCGCCGCCTCCGAGGGGCCCGTGCCGATCCAGCAACTCCGCGCCGACGACGAACCGCCGCCGCGCCGCGAGCGCGACTCGCTGTTCCGCGGCGGCCTGCGTTCGCGGCCGCTCGACGACGTGTTGGCGGGGCTGTCGCTGCAGCCCGCGTCGCTCGGCCCGTCGCCCGACAAGCTCTTCGGCAACGGCTTCGGCCGCGACGCTTTCCGCCAGCGTTCGGCTCCCGGATACTTCCCGCGCTCGCAGCAGCAGCACCGCGCTCCCAAGGAGGGCGCGGCGAGCGGCAAGGATCGAGGCCGCGCGCGCGTCCCCGCGCCGCCGGGCGGCCTCGAGAACGTGCAGATGAGGCCGGCGGCGAACTCGCTCATGTTCACGGCCTCGACGCGTCTCAACAAACCGCAGCCGCCGCCCTTGACGCCGTCGCAGCCCAGTGAGTGTCCTTCGGTATATTCTTCGATCTCGTCCTCGTGAAACTCATCGATTCGTATCCGTTCGCAGGCGTGGTGCCGGCGTCTTTCGCGAGCGCCGCTCCTCTGCACAAGGAGCCGCCGATCACCATTAAATCGGCACCCGACAAGAAGGACAAACCCAAAAAAGACAAGGCAAGTCACGCCATTTCATTCAGGTTCAGTTTAGTATAATTATTAATGACGAATATAATATAGATAGACAGTGAACAGTGGGAATCGAGTAAATCTCTAATGAGGCCGTGGTGTAACATTGCGTAGAACGCAGACAGAGCTTTGACGCATTTCATGGTTCTCTGGCCTCGAGTAAGAGTAGAATTAGGACACAGTACCGAAAATTAATTCTGGCTTCAAATAGTTTAATTATTATTAGAGTTTGTAATAGTAGTTAGAAATATCTACGTAAATAGAATTGCGTGGAGCTGAGGGAAAAGGGCAGAATGGCAGGGCCTGGCGGAGGCCTTTGTCGGTATCGGGCTTTCACGGCGTCAGACTGTGCGACGCTTTTAAGCCATTGCGCATGCGTCGAATGCTAGTGTTCTCAAACTGAATAGATGCGGCATTTTTATTTATTGCATTTTAGAAAGATTTACAGTATTTTAACAGAAGGTAAATTAAGATTACAATAAAATAAAGTCAGTACTAATTACAAATCTCCACCTATAGATAATCCATAAATACCTTAGGGAGATAGGAAGAATAAAATTAACAATTATGAATTTATAACTATTCTAATGGAAAAAGCTGGATGTGAGTGTGCGTCTCACAGAGTCAAAAGAACAGAAAAGATCGATGTCAAACTGGGTTGAATATTGGTTGTAGGTCTGTACACTTCGAAGCATGAATGTATTTTTCCTATAGTTCGTATTAAATGAAGGCATTTTGAAAAGAGGGCGGTGTCTGAACCATAATAAGTCAGTTCGCAAGTTGAGCTTAGCTAACATCTCCGGACAATCAACAACAGGTAACGTTGACAACGGTGATGGTAATCATAGAATCACCAGCATTCCGATGGCCTTAAAGTCAAGAAAACTAAGGAAACGTCGCTGGATATTTTCGAGACGAACCTTGTATTCCTGGTATTGAGGATTCCAGACTTGTGAAGCGTACTCTAGGTGACTACGCACAAAAGAACAATATAATATTTTTATAGTTTTTAAATGTTTGAAGACAGCTGAAGTTCTGATGATAAAACCCAAGGATTTAGACGCTTTGGAAACTACACTATCAATGTGTCTATGAAATAGCAATTTATTGTCATGGCTGACCCCAAGATCCTTGACTTCTACCAGTCCAGAAATTGACTGGGACTAGGTTTACGGTTAAAACTAATGTGATGACATTTAGACACATTGAGTTCCAACTTGTTTAGGACACAATTTTGCTCAAACCTATTCAAATCGGCTTGCAGTAGGTTAATGTCAGCTGTGCTATGCACAAACTTAAAGATTTTCATATCATCGGCAAACAGTAATATTTTAGAATTGAGAAAACAATCACCCACATCCAATATGAACAGAATAAACATTAAAGGGCCCAAGATTGATCCCTGAGAAACTCCTGAAGGAATGGAGACCCAATTAGACAAGCATCCTTGCAGTACAACAGCCTGACAGTGATTATCTATGTGGGATGTGAATCATCTGTAAAGGTCACCGTGGATACCTGCAGCCAATAATTTGCGTAAGAGAACACTATGATCAATGTTGTTCCACCCCGAGAGAAGGTTTAAGCGCCGCATATAGATCATTGTGAACAAGTTTTTCAAGAATTTTAGCGAATAAACATAATTTAGAAATAGGGCGGTAATTCTCAACATTAGATCTATCGCCCTTCTTAAATACAGGTGTAATACACGCTCTCTTCCATATCTTCGGGACTATGCCTTCTGTGAGCGAACGCTGAAATATAATTGTCAAGGGTACAACCAAGCCAGGCGCACAGTTAACTATAAAGACTGGGGGCAAGAGATCAGGACCACCAACCTTACTTAAATCCAATTTACGAATCAGTTTCTCAACCTTCTCATGCGTAACTGACACAGTAGAGATGCTTACGGCACTAGTACAGCGAACAGGACTATTATTAACATTAACAGTGTCATTAGGTTTTAGAAAAGTAGACTAAAATAACTTGAAAACAGGTTAGAAATACCTGCACCAGAATCTGCAGTAGCACCAGTTGTTTTGTAGCACATAAAATTGGGATAAGAGTTGGAATTTTTTTTGGATTTTACATACGACCAAAAGATACGGGGGGCGCGAACTATAGAAGCCTCAATTCTGTCTGTATATATACCTCAAAGCACTTCTTTTCTACTGTGTTTGCCGCTTCACACAGAGTTGAGAATGATAAGTAATCTGCAATGTTACCAGAAATTTTGTACTTCCTGTGATATTTATACTTTTCTTTTAGTATTTTGATTAGAGCAGAACTAGACCAGGGAGGACAAACATTTTGATACAAATTAGGACGGAATAAACTTATCACGTAGCTTATCATATAATAAAGTCAGTGCTTCGTCTACACAAACAAGAATGCCAGTCTATCGAATTGAGAACTGATATTATAGAATTAAAAATTAACATTAGTTAAATATTCTAACATAAACACCACGCCGTTTTGGAGTTCGTTATAAACAACGTTTTATATACTGCTCAAAACAATTAACGGAACAAGATTTTTCTCCTTTCTATTGCTTAAACTAAAATTAGATTTAAATTAACTTGTACGCTATTTTTTACCTTGTTAATTTGTTAATTACTACAATTAATAAAAAAATTCAATTTGTATTTTTTTTGTTAAAAAAAAATTAAAATGTGCATTGTAGACGAAAAACAAAGTGACGTCTTTGAATTTTCATTACTTTCTAATCACAGAAAACACATTTTAAGTAGTTTTTTTTTTCAATCTTTTGAGAATTAATAGAAATTGAAGTGAGCCTTTTGAGTATTGTTATTCATTGAAGCGAGTGAGTTTAGGTCATAATACCAGATCTGACTGAATTGCATGTCTCCCGAGCTATCGCTTTGCTTGAAGAGGGTCGAACTATGCGTTATGTAGGAAATGATCTAGGAGTAGCCCCTTCTGTTATCTACAGACTTTGGAAGCGATACCGTGAGACGGGAGAATACTCACGAAGGCGTGGTCAAGGTCGAAAGAGAAAAACTACACGTTTGCAAGATCGCTACATCGTCAACTGTGCTTTACGTAACCGCACCACAACTGCTGCAGATCTACAAAATACACTAAGGACGGCTACTGGTGTAGAAATTTCCGACCAGACGGTAAGAAATAGGTTGTTGGAAGCCAATTTGAGATCACGCCGACCAGTTCGGGCTGTGCGTCTAACAATTCAACATAGACAAGCTCGCCGACAGTTCGCGCAAAATCACGCTAATTGGCAACTTCGACATTGGAGGCCAGTGCTTTTTACTGACGAATCACGATTCCGTCTAACACGTTGTGATGGTCGTCTCCGTGTTTACAGACGCCCAGGCGAGCGATACAGTGCAGCAGCAGTCCAGGAATATGACAAATTTGGATGTGGCTCTGTGATGGTTTGGGGCGGAGTTAGTTTGAACGAGCGCACAGATCTCGTCGTTGTTCCCGGGCGCTTGTGTGCTCAAACTTATGAGGCGTGTATTTAAAGTAAGGTCTCCAAGGCAACCGTATCGCCGCAAGTAGCTCTAGGTGAAATCCGGCAACACTGTTGTATACGTGTGGCCCCCCTCCACAAGTCGACATCTGGGTGTCCTAACCATTAGGACGCTCATTCTCGACGTAGCAGCCGTTTGCGATGGAGTTACCGGTTGTCGCTCCCGTTAGGTGCGAGTTACGTTCAGTCATTAAGTTTTTACACGCAAAAAAAATTCCACCTATAGAAATTCATCGTCAATTGGAAGAAGTGTGTGGTGAGAAATGTATGGATGTGAAAAATGTTCGAAAATGGTGTAGAGAATTTTCTGCTGGCCGCCTAAACGTTCATGACGAGGAGCGCAGCGGCAGGCCGTCACACTCAGATGAAACAGTGCGGAAAGTTGAAGAGCTTGTGCTGAAAGATCGCAGGTTGACTCTCAATGAGTTGGCCGAAAAACTTCAAGATGTGTGCAGTAGAGACTCTATTCATTCAATTTTGGTGAATAATCTGCAATACCGTAAATTGTCAGCCAGGTGGGTCCCGAAAATGCTTACCCCGGAGCACAAAGTGAAACGTGTCCAATGTGCCCAAGACTTTCTCGCCAGTTTTGAAGAGGAAGGAGAAGAATTTCTCGATTCAATCGTTACAGGAGATGAAACATGGGCTCATTATTACACACCGGAAACGAAGGAGCAGTCGAAACAATGGAGACACACGCATTCGCCTAAAGTCAAAAAATTTAAGCAAGAAAAATCAGCAGGCAAGGTTATGGCCACCGTCTTTTGGGACAGAAAGGGTGTATTGCTGATCGATTTCATGCCTCGTGGAACAACCATAAATGCTGATCGGTACTGTGAGACCTTGAGGACCTTGAGCTATTCAAAATAAACGAAGAGGGATGCTGACCAAGGGAGTACGACTTCATCACGACAACGCGCGTCCTCATGTGGCCAACGAAACAACGTCACTCATTACGGCATTTGGTTGGGATGTGTTGGACCACCCTCCTTACAGTCCCGACGTCGCCCCTAGTGACTTCCACATGTTTCCTGCCCTGAAAAAACATCTAGGAGGAATGAAATTTGCGAATGATGAAGTAGAAGGTGCATGAAGCGGTCATTTCGTTCCTGCGCGAGGCGGCGGGATCATGGTTCGAGGAGGGGATACAAAAGTTTGTCGTACGAATGAAGAAACTCATCGAAGTGAATGGCGATTATATAGAAAAATAGCTTAGATTTCAAGCTTTACAGCAATGTATTAAACTTTGTAAATACATGTTATTTAATGTGAAAAAAATAAATGGAGACCTTACTTTAAATACACGCCTCGTACATTGAAAATGTGCTCGAAGATCATGTTTGGCCCGCAGCATATGGTATGGGCCCAGATTTTCTTTTAATGCAAGATAATGCCAGGCCACATACTGCAGCCATCACGTCAGATTACTTACGACAGCAGGAAATCCGTGTAATGGAGTGGCCTTCCATGAGCCCTGACCTAAATCCAATTGAACACATTTGGGACTCGCTTGACAGGCGCATCCGGAAGCGTCCGATTGCACCTCAAACACTGCAGCAGCTCACTGAAGCGTTGATTGAAGAATGGGAGCGAATTCCACAAGAAGATATTCGGAGGATCATACGAAGCATGCCGCGTCGTTGTCAAGCCGTGATTAGGGCTCATGGAGGCCACACACGTTACTGAAAGTCACTAAAGACGAATATTCAAACGATATAAGAATATTTCTTGGATGGACCTTTTTTATCACCAATTAGTTTTTCGTCTACAATGCACATTTTAATTTTTTTTTAAATAAAAAAAATACAAATTGATTTTTTTTATTAATTGTAGTAATTAACAAATTAACAAGGTAAAAAATAGCGTACAAGTTAATTTAAATCGAATTTTAGTTTAAGCAATAGAAAGGAGAAAAATCTTGTTCCGCTAATTGTTTTGAGCAGTATATATACATTGTTTTTTTATTTGTGGATCTAAAAATTATTAAATAAATTTAAACAAATACAGCGTGGTTTTTATGTTAGAATAAAAATGGTAGATATACATCAAATCATACGTCAAAATTTGGTTTTTAGCAAATAACCGATCTCCGAGCCGGATCTTAGAAAAAAATGCTATTTTTTAAATTTATTTATTTACTAAATTACTACCGCGACAGGGCCCCAACAAGGAGGAGGCGTGTCGCTTGGCCGTGGAGGCGGTGGGTGAGATGGCGGAGCTGGAGGAGGAGGAGCCCGAGCGGGAGCCCGAGGCCCTGAGGCGCCTGCGCGAGCTGGCTCTGCCCGACAAGCTGCTGCGACGCGCCATCGTCGCGGCGCTGGAGCACGCGCTCACCGCGCCCGCCGCGCCTCGTCTCGCGCTGGCCGCGTGCCGCGTCGTGCGCGCCGTCAAGCGAGCTCCGCTCGGCGAGACCCTGCGCGCCCTCGTCGTGGCTCACGGAGGAGACGATCGGGCGGCCGCGCTGCTGGCGGCCGCCGTGCTCGCCCGCCTCGTGCCGCTGGCCGAAGTGGGCGCGTGGTGCGAGGGCGGCCACCATCATCCTCTGCTGCCGGACGTGCTCGTCGCGCTGCGCGAGGCCTCCGGCGCGGACGAGTTGGCGCGGCTGTACGCCGAGAGTAAAATCGACCTGTGCGCGTACGCGGGAGGCCCGGGCGGCGGCGGCGTGGAGGCGCTCGAGGCGCGCGGGCTGAGCGCGCTGGTCCCGCAGCTGCGAGTGCAGGCGGCGCTGGCGCGGCAGCTGGCCGGCGAACCGGCACCGGCGGCGCTGTATCGCTGGATCAAGACGCACGTGGAGGCGAGCGTGCGCGGCACGGGCGCCTTCGTTTCGGCTCTGGTTGCGTTGCTGGCGCAGCAAGTGACGGGCGCGGCGGACGCCGCCGGCGGCGACAAGGCGGCCGTGGAGCGCGAGAAAGCGCTGCTGGAGGGCTATGCGCCGCTGCTGCGCGCGCTGCTCGACCGCCGACCCGATCTGCAGCTGGCGGCGGTCTACGCCGTGCAGGTTCACGCGCACGCGCACCGCTACCCGAAGGGTGAGGCCCGCATTTATATACATATTTTTGATTTACCTTTTGTTGGAGTCTATGATAATGATTTTTCCCAACCACAGGCATGCTTCTGCGCTGGTTCATGTACTTGTACAACATGGAGGTGTGTGAAGAAGAAGCCTTCTTGCGCTGGCGAGAAGACGTGACGGACGCGTACCCGGGGAAGGGCGAAGCTCTGTTCCAGGTGAACGCGTGGCTCACTTGGCTGCAGCAGCAGGACTCTGACGACGACGAGCCGGACGACTAGATCACTTCATCTCATCTATAAATATATTATTAAGCCCAATAGTTTAAACAGCCACCTCGTTAGCCTGAGCCGCGTCGCTCCATTCTTGAATAGGTCAATTGTTTAGGTTATACTATGTAACAAACGTTAGTATCTCGAGATAATTTTTTCTAGGCCTTTTACTCGATTTTGATACTTTTACAAATGTATACAATGTATAGTGTTCGTTTGAACGTATGATTGCACTCCCGTCTGCCTGCTCTTAACCACTCCCCCGTGTCGTGCGTGTTTAGTTAAAATTGTAAAAAATGTCTAATATGAAGGACTTAAATCAATTTTTTATATAGGTATTACATTGTTTACTTTGAATTATAAATGGCTGTAGTGAGTTAACGGTAATGCTTCAAATTAATTGTTTATTGATAAAATTTATTATTAGATAAAGGGACTGATTGTTTTCTGGCAAATAGAATATAGATGTATGTCCAAGGAGTGAATAATTATAAAGTTGTGAAGTGTCACCATGTTAAGTAATAATAAATAATCAATATGATATAGTAATATGTATTCAGGATGAGAATAAACTTCAGTGTAATTTACTACTTTTTTATTAAATTTCCTAGATATCATCTCAGTGTTCCTGGTGTTGCATTCCATCCATCAAACTATAGTCCACTCTGTTCGATAATAATGGGTGCTGCAATAAAAATTGTTTAAGTAGGTGACAATAATGTAGTAAAATTCTCTCGCGTCATAACCTAAAAACTCGTTGTACTTATTAGTGGCAAAAAATTTAATGACAATATTAAAGGGTTTTACGAATCAGTTTGAGAGTTTTACAATAAGTTTATGCCCCAACCTTAAACAGCATCACTGAATATTTATTATGAAATATTAATGATTCGTACTGACGGATGGCAATTTTTTTTTATTATTCTAAAGATTCTTACCAATACGAATGGCTGCACAAAGGATACAAAAACTTATAACACTATTGACTGTATTTTCTCTTGCTTGACGTTTTTCTTCCATGGGATCAACCCTTTCTCCAAAAGGTAAGCGAAACATTTTGTAATGGAGACTAAATTAATGTAATTAAATGCTCATGAAATATCACGTTAAGATTGAAAAATTTGAGTTTTATTCAATGATTGTATAATATTTTTATTAAACCCATAAACACAAAATAGTGATGAATTCCCGAATCACAGAATAAAGCGAAATTCCAATTCCATGAAATACATAGACTATAGTCTTGAAACTTGAAACATGATGATAAATAATTCACGAGTCACAGAATAAAATTATTGACACAAGAGTTAAGCACTAGTCATAGGGGTCTTATATATTATATCCAAACCGTAGATAGAGTATAGAACTAGATGAGCTTCTAAAATAACAATAATAACTAAAGAGAGAAGGTATCAACGTGAAATACTTAAGTGCGAGCGAAACAGAGTATCAGTTTTTCTGTCTCTATTTGCGTATCGGGTATTATTTGTTTGCCACCGAGCCCTTGGTGGTAAACAAGTTTTCACCGCTTACTGATAAATCGGTGAAACCCAAGTCAAACTCATATTTTAAGACCTTATAAGAGGTGTATTTAAAGTGTCAGTCATGGTGAAATGTTGCATAATTGGCTGTAATAGCTATAGTGAACGTAAAGAACCAAACATAACCATTCATCGGTAAGTAGCTTATTTTGTTACGACTCAGTAACTTTGTTCAAGAATTATTCATTCGAATGTGTATTTTAATCAATAATAAGCAATCTTCAATGAATTAAAACTGTAAATATGACATATCTCGATCATTCGCTATCTCACACGCTGCACGCTGTATGCCTGGTCTATACCATAGTCCGTCTACGATCCAAAATAACCGCAAAAAGGTGACCAGAGAGTCCACGGCAAATGCCGTATTGACAATCGCTAATCAGACGGTTGCCCTTTCGATACCTTAGGATGGTTGTTGATAACTCTCTGATCAGTATAATCAGAGTGAGAGAGTGTTTAGTTTAGTTTTTTTTAATTACATAGATTATTTTCATTATAAAAAATAGAAATTATCGGTACTCTTTAACAATTCAATAAATTGTTTAAAACGTAGGTACCTATGTGTAAAAAATAAATTTGGCAGCTTTAAACTGCAATCATCAACGTTACAGCTAGATGTAAAAGAGATTATACACAATCTTTAGATAAATTTTTCGAGTCTTGATTATCTCGTTATGTGCAAAAAAATTATAAAAAAGTACCTACTCATGAAAAATTTACATAACAAAGACTCTATGAAAACAATTTATTTCTAATATTTTAATGGAGGAGAAAACGCAAAGCTAATTGCAGATGTCGCTATCATCGTTTGACCCATAACAATACGCTGTCAGTTTTCAGCAATTTTTACGTAAATCTTAGCTACGATTTAGTAAATCTTAAAAGGTGTTTACAAGTGAAAACTACTGAATAATGTATTTGACATGGACTGTTCCTTAATTAAAATCGACCAAAAGAATTCAAGTACAACCAGTCACCATAAGTAGCACCCGTTCACGAGTATGACGCATGGCCAGCCATCGGCCCCCTCGCCATATTTTAGGGAGAGAGACAACCCGACGCATGGACGCCGCCGCAAGCAATGACATTTAAGCGAGCATGACGATCCTTGAAATGTGGACTTGGCTACATAAGAAAATAATAAAAATACTGAAATAATTTGATACCACATAGATCACGGTTTGTTCCCACTTTACATTAAAACAGTCGTGGATGTTGACGATCGCCCCAGAGTCTGGAAATACAGCCGAGAGATTTAGTCGCGTTACCTCTTTATACTGGAGCAATTCATATCCAAGCACTAGGATCGTTTAAATATTCATTTATATTCTAATAGGAATTAGCAAGCTCAGTTTAATGTACGATTTAAATTTATTTATTGACAACACTTGTATATCACTAGGGATTTTGTTGAAAAAACGTAGGTATACAGATGCCTTGGAAAGAATTACTCGTCTTATGCAGCCTTGTGGTTGGTGCGCTAATTTTGTCTCTATTACGAGTACTATAATTATGGAAGCTATTCTTTTTATAGATATCTATATTTTTCCGCACATACAAAATATTCATGCCAAAGTCAAAATATGTAATTCCTTAAACTTGCTTCGGACTGACTCCCGTGGGGACAACCCACAGATCGCTCTTATAGCCCGCTTTTGCACTACAAATATCGATTTAATGTCAGCTGCATTACATTAAATCGATATTTGTAGTACAAAACCCACAAAATAACACCATATGACATAATTCTATGAAAATAGCTGAAATAAATGAGCTTTGCTGTATATTCATCAGAACTTACACTGCAGAACTTCGCCTATTCGGAAGACCTTCTATGTGTCGGTCCCACTGGAGTTTGCTAGAATATAGTAAAAACGGCCCTACTCATCGGCAAAGGAGACAGAGGGTGTAGGCCGAGAGAAAAAGCCGGCGTAAAAAACTCTTGGTACTCTTTTAAAACAGCAAAACAACATTTATTTAAAACAAAAATCGCAAATTAATTAGAAGTAGCCTGGCTAGCACTAGTCCCAGTCCCTTTTATCAAATAGATTATCGTTAACTTTATAGTAAGCCTTTACACAGCTTTGACGTATTATGGTTTTTGAAGTGAAGACTTCTTTAGCGGCGTTGTATACTTTTTTTGGAATGGGTAAAAAAAGTTAAACTCGCGTCAGGAAACTTCGTAAATTCGTAAAACGGATGGAGAGTAGACAGCTGGCGCGGCGTATTGAATGTAATATAAATTATCATGTTTGTGTACATAGCGCAATAAATAAATATTGTGTTCTACCACTTAAATGATAGTACTTTTATACTGATAATTAAAGCAATTCATGCAAAATTATTCCCTAACCATTCCAAAATATCAAAAATGCACAACGTTAATATTCAAGTTTTCACTTCTGTGATCTGTCGGCACTCCCGGAGTGCAACCCGTCGTTTTTTTTTTAAATAAACATTTGAAAAACCTATTTAAAATTTTTGTATTAAATTTAATTATACATATTGTATTCGCTTTTGTTAGGATTGTGTACTTTAACAAGATACAAATCTTTTATAAAAAATATGAAGTAATTATATATGTATTAGTTTATGTTTATAAGTTTAATTTTATTAATATTGTTACCATTACACTATATTCCAGATTAAATTATTATAGATTTATATTTCTTGAGGTAATACATAAATAAATAAAAAACTATCATTTAATAATATATTATATATGTATTTGTTTAAATTGTCCTTTTTGGAGGGCTACCGTAATCGTTGCGCGACATCAAATTTTCGTCCTAATTTTGGTCGAAAGTGTCCTCGTCCTCTCTATATTCCAAACATTAGCGAAGTAAACTACTAATCTGTGAACTACTCTCTAACTCATCTGTGGCTGCTTAGTAATTTAAAAAAAACTAATCACATTAATGTGGTAACAATTATGTTTCGAATTGCTTATTTTCTTCATTACATATTTTAGTTCATTAAAAAATATATGTACGACATTCAAGTCGCCAAACGAAAATGAATTTCTTTAAGTAGTCAGGGCAATAATTACATGATAATATTATGTTTTATTTACAATAATACTTTGAGTTTGGCATACCGTGGCGATTACTGCCTACTAGTTACTAACTTACAACCACCGTAGGCCGTAGCCGTAGGTAAAGTTGCGCAATATGGCGCTTTCGGCTCAGCTGCTTTCGTGAAAAACTAAACTTAGTGATTGTGACACGCTCCAATTGGCAAGATTTAGATGGAACAGTTATTTTATTCTTGAAGTAGACAAAGTAACGCAATGGAACGCCCAACGATTCTGATCAGTTAGTTGTACTGGAGCAAGGTCTGGCCGTTGAGGGCTATATACATTGATTTTGTTCCGTTTACCATTTAAAACACAGTTCGTCAAACTGGAGCGACTCCCGGAATACTTGCGGGATACCGTTGACTGGTTTATGGGGTAAGTACCTTTATTGTGATTAATACAGTTAGACAACAATAACGAGGAAACTAACTTTCTTTCCCATTTAATGAATAATTGGTGTTTATTTTTTGTGTCATTCTTTATATAAGTTTAAATAATGCACAATTACTCATTTCTACACCATTATATTACTGACTTTAAATAAATGCTGCTTTCACAAGTTGATATTAGAAGAAATCTGTCCTTGTTTGGAAACCTATTATATTCTAATTGTATCTAATATTTGTGACTATAAATATTAGATAGAATTAGAATACCTGTCTGTACCTGGGTACAAGTTTGGAAACTCTTATTAATATACGACTATATATAATAAATCTAAGCAAATTGCTTATTACTAACTAAAATAAAAAATAGTTGGGTAATATTTAAACTTCAAAATATCTTAATCAATTTCAAAATTCTTACATCCCGAGAAAGCTATATTATCAGACGATAACATATAATAGATTGTGATTGTAACCATTTTATCAAAAGTGGAAGTGGATAAGATGACTTTGTAAACCCTAGTTCCAAACTTCTTGACAAGACATGACAAAGAAAATAATGTATAAAGAAACTGTGTGATAAGCTCATTATATTTTAAGCACATTATTAATAATTCCTTTAATAAATAAGTAACTAACCACAAGCTTATGATGTAAGTGCATTGTTATTGTATGTTATATGATGAAATTTAAATTAAACTGTTGTAAAATAAAAGTTACACATTCAATAATTAACACACCATCATTGGGAGACAGGGTGTAAATAAATATATTGTATTCCAGAGGAATTCCAATTTATTTCCTTAGGAAGATACAATGGTATTTAGTAACTTTTATATGTTTATAACAATGTATGAAGTCATATGCAGTAGGACCATGGAAAGGAAAATCTGTAAGGCACGATCTTAAGTAGTAGTGCTGTTTTTGTAGGTCAGGAGGTAAACAAAATTTTTTTTTAAATTTGTATTACATTTCTACACAAATTGCAGTAATTTTGAATGCTGTTAAATGGTGGCTGGTTCAATCTCTTGGTACTTGTACATACAAGAAGCCAATATAAATATATTTTTAAATTACACAGCAATTTTATTTGGAGCACCTATTAAGCATACTGGAGCGTGTGCAACCCATTCAAAGAAACAACAGATAGTAGATATGCTCACATATGCTGGCTTAATTTATTTTAATGTATTAATGTTAGTTAATTATTCTTTAATTTAAAATTACATAAAAAGTTGTAGGTTTTTCAAAAGATTAATTTGTTTGAATTCATTAGATTGGGAATTCAAGGAATACTTCAAGTGTGCTGTGTTTTGAGTTTGTTTTAAGAAAAGGACTTGACTTTGTTATTGAGTAGGGTTCACAAAAAAGCTGCATTCTCATAAAACTTTTTTGTTACATTCATGGTGTTCTGGAAGGTCTTTATTACATAATTGATCTTAAGGGACAGTGTAGACATGTAGACAGCATTTAAAATTAAGTATATTTTTATTATTAGTATATATTAATTTAACTAAGTTTATTTGTCAATTGTACATTTCCACTCTGAACATTTTGAATGAGTGCAATAGCTGCCACTACTACTACTACTACTACTGTACTATGACACATGTTATATGTAAGTTAAGCTGTGAGCAAAGATTCTCATTTTGCATTTTTCATCTGGATAAGATAAGCTGATAAGATTGCTAGAGAAATCTCAGACGCGCCAACAAAATGCCTTCAGGCGAATTGATGGCACAGTGGCAGTATTTGTTTGTATTGTTCGATACTGGGTCTTTATGGGCGGCGGTGAGATAAGCGCGAGGTAAGCGGACGCAAGTGGCGCTGGGCCAGTCGGCAGCCGCTCGCGATATGAGTTGGCCGGAGGGCGTGCGGCGCGGTGTCCGCCTGCGCTACCGCAGAGTCTCGGCGCTCGACGTCGACGACACGGTATCGTGTTTTTGCAGGTTCGCCCTATTTGCATAATATTATACTTTTGACATATTTTCTCATCGGTGAGGCTTAACCCGATTCCAAAACGACTCGATCTAGTCATATCGCTGACCGTGTAGAAGTCTCCGGCGCGCTATCGCCGTACGATCGTCGCATCGCGTGTTATCACCGCTCTGCGGCCTCCACCTGATGACGTCACGGAGCGCACCGACCGGGTGCCTCCCCCTCCCGCCGCCCGGCCCTCTGACTTTAAAGTGTTAGCGACTAGCGTAACTTACGCCGTACGCGATGACACATTGTTTGTTGCCACTTGCGACACACTGACGGAAATCTTTGAATGACGTAAGGCTTATTTTGTATATATCGGTATCGTATTTCTACATTTACGATTTTTTTACAAAAAAACACCGAAGTTAACGACCGAATGAATTCGTGTGAAAACGCAGGGAACCGCTAGTAATAATTTATTGTATTCAGAGATCAGTCAACAGATTTTACTTTAGACCTTGAACGAGCCGTCACTTTATTAATTCGAATTACTAAATAAAAATGATAGTAATAATAAACCGGAAAAGCCTCTTCGGGATGATTTAATATAAGTCGTCGCATCAGTCGCAGCCTAAGTATCGTAGCGCTCCATAGGTATACGTAGGATATACATTATACACACTGTAGGTATACCTATATCAACTTGTAATGCTCTGATTCACTCGCTCGTTCTGGCCAGTCAGGCTTTATAGTTGCTCGGTGAACACTAACTTCCTGCTTTCCATTGCTTCCATTGCTGCTTAGGTAGGTTACCTAAATTCACAAAAACAAGCTGCCCACTAGGAACCTTGTCGACGATAGTCAAGGATTTCTAAACTCAATCGACTCTATCGAGTTGCAACGAAACTGCGATTGGCTAGAGTATCGCCGTCTATTTCTATTACTTAATAACATGGCCTTTGTCAGTCCCCTAGAGGGCAGTCGGATGGTCGAATCCTCAGAATCTTCAAGATTGTTATTTACTCATTATGCATGATATTAATATGAATCGCTGTTGTGACATATTATTCAGTGCGTGGCTTGCGCTGTAGTAATAATAATTGCGAGATTAGATAGAAATAGTGGAGCGGCAGCGGTGCGAGAGGGACGTTCGAAGCGAAAGAGGTCGGCGCGCGGGCCGCGGGCGACGGGCCGCAGTCGCCGATCGCTAGTCAAGTAGTCAGTTAGTGATCGCACAGTGAGGCGAGTGGGCAGTCGTCGCTGCCACGTCCCTCCGCTTCGCAGTGGTCTATTTCGGGGTGAAAGTGGTGTGTGCAGTGCGATGCGGGATGTGCCGCCATGGACGGATACTTGAACATACTGTTCACTTGGCTCTCCACACTGCTTAATAAGTTCTATCTCACGTCAGTGTTCATATTTTACTTCTAACCTATATGCATTCGTGAAGATATTTTGTGCGTAGTCTGATCTACTACTGTAACTGATACTTATCTACTGATATTAATGACTTTTTTAAATTTATTATTACTCACACCGTACTACGCAGTACTCGTCTGATAACTTAATCATTGTTAATTCACGGTTTACTTCTGTACTCAGAAGAGTACAGAAGTAAACCGTGAAGAGTCCCTTAACGTCGGAACGTACCTAACACTCGAATGTTTATCGACACAACAGGAAGGGGAGGCGTAAAGAGCGCGAGGGCGAAGGCGACCCGAAGCTGTACCTGCAGGAGGCGCTGCTCGAGCGTCAGCTGCCCGAGCTGGACCTGAGGCAGCTCGTGGAGCTGCCGCGCGGCCTCGACCTCAACGAGTGGCTGGCCTCGCACACGCTGCCGCTGTTCGAGCACGTCAACCTGCTGTACGGCACCGTGTCGGAGTTCTGCACGGCGGCCGGCTGCGGCGATATGGCCGGGCCGGGCGGCCGCGTCTACGCCTGGTACGACGAGCGCGGCAAGAAAACGCGGCTGGCGGCGCCGCAGTACGTCGACTGCGTGATGACGTTCGTGCAGCGGACCATCCACGACGAGGCCGTGTTCCCCACCAAGTACGCCAACGAGTTCCCGCCCGGCTTCGACGCGGTTCTGCGACGCGTGCTGCGCCTGCTGTACCACGTGCTGGCGCACCTCTACGCCGCGCACTTCCGCCACCTGGCGCTGCTGCGCCTGCACAAGCACCTGCACCTGACCTTCGCGCACCTCACCGCGCTCGACCGCCGCTACGCGCTGCTCGACCACAAGGAGACCGAGGTGAGCCCCCGCTCCCGACCACCCCCGCTCCCGCCCTATAGCGACCGGATCTAACCCGTTCGACCGGCAGGTGCTGCGCGACCTGGAAGTGGCCCTGCGCCTGACGGAGCCCGACGAGGCTTCGCCGAGGCGCCGTTCGCCGGTCGTCACGCAGCCCTTGGCCTCGGCGTGATTAATTGTTAACTATTGTAAATATTTCGGTCTGTTAAGTAGTTCTAGGAGATGATTAGTTTATAAATTTGTGATTGCTTTGGTTGTAAATAAAAGTGATATTTGTTTAACTAATAAACTGAAAGCTTTATTGATGTTTTTATATGTTTTAATGTTTGACCCGACGTCGGCTCCGCTAATGTCCCGAAATAGAATTATTTGTGATAAAAATTATGAATTCATTCATCTTGCAATTCTCAAGAGTAGTACTTAGTATGAATTTCTAAAAAAAAAAACAACTTTATAAAATATATTTTATTTACAACAGTCAAACCTCGGTTCGTTACAATATCCCTAAATTTTTACAGATACATAATATTTAAACGGACGGATCGTATTAAGTAGGTCGGCCTTGGCAATAAATGTTATGTTCGCTATGTTCCAGCGAACGGCCGAGTCGCCGTGGCTCGTGTCCTCGCAGAATCGGCTCTGGCTGAAAATTTATCAAATATTTTACATAGTTCAATCAATTCAATTTCTTAAAATAGCGGCACGCCCCATCCTTTCCAAAGTCTACTATAGATATATTTTTGTTATCATAAAAGTTTTATTTTACTTAGTCTTCTTACTTCCATTCAGATTATTAGCTACACACTGACATTCATAATCTATTCAATATACAGATTTTATTTATCTAATACATTTTTCAATTCGTAACATTATTTACGTAGAACGTCCGACATTAGTAAGTTAAAAAATACTCTACGGGTATTGAAGTTTTTTAGTCTAGGAATATTTACCCTGATTAAATTGTTCAGAATAAAAACAAAACTTTCTTCTATAATATTAGCAAAGAGATTTATTGGTAGAACTTAAGTGTCTTAGAACTTTCATGTAGTTTTGTTTTGTGGCATCAAAATAATATTGCCCATGGGTAAAACATTATTTTTGTAGAAATTGATACGTTCTATAATATTGTACAAATTTTTTTTTTCTGTTATCAATAGTTTCCACAGTGCACGCGAAGACAGGTTTTTTATGGATAATTTTTTCACACCTTGGATTATATTATAGCATTTTTATTAGGGATCCCTATTTAATCTAAATATAATATGTCTGTCAGTGAAGATGCAGCTTTCTAATTTTTCAAAAGTTTCCTAGAACTTTTCGTCAAATTTCCGTCCGTGACAATTTGTACACAACTTGCTATTTTATTTAACGTAAATTTACTGCTGACTAAAAGACGTTGTCGTTTCAGCAAATTATCAAATTAACTTGTATTATTGTAGACATTTTTATTCATCAATTTGATTACAAAACTGTCGATAAATTAGCATCTGTATTGGCAATGATGAACATTTTCAATTTTATATTCAAGTAAAAAAAGTTCTCTAAATTAAGAAAAAAAAATCACTGCAAATATATCTTTCCAACTTAAGTGTTCTAATTCAGACGAAATCAATATGTTGAAATTTTTATGAATCTTGGTAAATATATATCACAACAAAAAATCAAGACCTAAATTAGGCATGTACTCATCTGGAATACAAACGAATGTATCGGTAGTGGAGTCTCTGACAAATCGGTTCAGATAAATTTCATTTTTAAAATTGATTGTTTACGAGTTGGATTGTGGACGAAATTTTGCAAAGCGAGGAGACAAGTTCTGCTGCAGGCGCTTCTCGGTATTACTCCATTGATGATGTACCGCAAATACAAATTCTAGATCACGTTAATGCTGTCGTCCCGATTGTATCGGATCCAGCCTCTTGACCACTCGCTCGAAACAGAAGAATTATTTATTTTAAAAACGCACATTAACGAAACAGAGAACACAATATATGCATGTGCATTGTGCATTGTGCAACAATGAGAAGTTTGCGCTACATTTAGAGGAAAACATTACAATGATAAGAGAGAAAATAACTTTTAAGTACACTAAAAATAAAAGACAAACTAGATTTAGAAATACAAATGTGCAATTTAAAATTTAATATATTTTTACTTAAATAGAACTGCTTCGCATGTACTCAAAGCGTCGTTTAACGCAGAAAGAGGTCAGTTTCCTCATCGCCCGAACGTAAAGAAGGTCTGATGTGTTTGTCTTTTCGAACATTTGGTAAATCTAACAGTTATTAAAAATGTTGTAAACAAAGATAGTGTCACAAAGGCGGCGTCCATCGCGGAGTGATTGCAAATGAAAGTTATTGCCAGTTCTTCTCTTCCGTTCTACGCCCTTGATTTGAGAACTGGCAGTAAATGTAAAATTAGAAGCATTATGTAATATTTATTATTTGCCGTTAATAGGTGTTCATTTTGTTACCTATATGAATAAATGATTTTGGTGAAATGGCGGTTAATTAGACCAAGGTATTGAATAATATTATTTTAGGGTTTACATTTTTAAAACACTTAGTCGACCGCTTTAGGAAACCTAACATTCTAGAAGCTTTATTGACTATTGCATTATAATGAGGTATAACTCCTAAATCTCTAATCTCATGGACATGGAGTAGTAAATGTGAGGGATTTGTGTGTACGGTACCTGGTACCTGACGTACGGTACTCCGTCGGGGCTCCTCGGCGAGCGCTCACATGCCCGACTCGGCGATGCCCTCGTCGTCTGAAAAGAGAGATCGGACTTACAGTACGGGCGGCGCTCGAGAGTCGTCGGGAGAGGGAGGGGGCTCACCTTCGAAGGCGGCGTTGAGGTGGTGGTTGTTGGGCGGCGGCGGGGCCAGGTCGCGGCCCTCGAGCGCCGCCACGACGCACTGGTGGATGCAGATGTACTGCTGTTCCGTCTGCACCATCCACACGCGCTCGCGCCGCATGGCGTGCACCATGCCGAAGACGTCGAGGGCGTCGGCGTGGCGCGCCAGCTGCTGCAGCGCGCGGTCGAGCGTGATGAAGGTGCCCGATCGGCCCACGCCCGCGCTGCAGTGCACGACCACGGGCCGGCCGTCGGGCGGGCAGCGCTCGCGGAAGGCGCGCACGAAGCGCGCCAGAGTGGTCGGCGGCTCCGGCACGCCGAAGTCGGGCCACGTCGTGAAGTGGAAGTGCACGAGCACGCGCTGCTCGGCGCCGCGGCACACGCCCAGCTCGGTGACCGTCCAGTCGGGGTAGCGGCTCTCGTTGAGCGCCGTGACGGCGATGTCGCCGTAGTAGACGGGCCGCGTGTCGTAGGGCCAGTAGCGGTCGCACTTCTCGCGGCCCTTCTCCACGCAGCGCGTGAGCATCACGATGGCCCGGGAGCCCGACTCCCAGCACATGCGCCAGAAGTCGTCCCGCGTGCAGTGCAGCGGGCCCTGCGTCACGATGAACTCGCGCGGCGAGCTGTCGCCCGGCACGTAGTTGGCGTTGATGTAGTCGGAGCCCTCCTCGTCGTCCACGGGCTGCAGCTTGTAGCGCGAGTGGTCGTACGGCAGGATGTTGGTGAAGCGGTTCTTGGGCCGGTTGACGGGCAGGTCGGCGGCCGTGCACGGCTGCTCGCGGCCGACGCTCTTCAGCTCCTCGAACTCCTCGCTGAAGCGGAAGTCGGAGTCGGCGGACATGAGTCGGTAGTGCTCCACGAAGTCGGCGACGCGCACGGGCCGCGAGGCCGGAGCCGGCGCGCGGGGCCGGGGCGCGGCGCGTCGTAGACGGCGGCGGCGCACGGCCAGCGCCGCGGCGGCGGCCCCGAGCGCGACCAGCGCCGCCGATGCCCCGCCCGCTATCCACGCCGTGTTGTCGGCCTCTGCGGAAGTTTCGAAACGTCACATCCGCCTCCGCCTCCGCCCCGCGGAACGAGGAAGTCGCCCGTCGAGCGCGACTCACCGGTGTAGACGGGCGCGTACGCGGTGTCGGTGAACTTGTCGGGCGCCGTGAAGGCCCGCAGCTTCACGAAGTACTTGGTGTTGGGCTTGAGAGGCCCGTTGCAGTAGGCGCGGCCGCCGCCCTCGCAGCGCTCCGAGCCGACCGTGAACTCCTCCACGGCGCTCGAGTGGAACGGATAGTAGGGCTCCGTGACCTGGTACGGCGGCCACACGGGCAGCCGTTGCACGTCCCGCCAGGACGGCAGGCGCGCCGGCGTGTCGTTGCGCGGCTCCTCGCCGAGCACCAGCGTGTAGGCCGTCACGTTGCCGTTGGCCGGCGAGAAGTAGTCGGCGCGGAAGCGGACCACCAGCGTGGACGAGGTGCGCCGCACGGCGGTCGGCAGGGCCTGGGCGCGCGGCCTCGGCGGCGCCGCGATCGCCATGTGCTGGCGCCAGCGCGCAGCCGCCCCGCGCCCGGCGCTCGTCTCGCCGCGCAGCTCGAACTCGTAGGTGCCCCCGGCGCGCAGCCCCCGCACGGCCCCGTCCTCGGCGTCCGGCGGGAACGCGATCTCGCGGGCCATGTCCGGCGCGCCGAGCGGCCAGTAGGTCAGGTGGAAGGCGAGCAGGTCGCCGTGGGCGTCGCGCGGCGGGAGACGCCAGGCGAAGGTCAGTTCGGTCGGCTTCGCGTCGGTCGGGTGGAACGCGGCGGGCGCGGCCGGCGGCGCGGCCAGCGTGCGGAAGCTGGCGGAGAGGGCGCGCGAGCGCGTCAGGATGGTCGCCGGCGTGCCCGAGAGCACTTCCACGGTGAAAGTGTAGAGCGTGTGCGGCGCCAGGGAGCCCAGCGTGACGCCGGGGCGCGTCGCACCGGCGCTCTCGAGGCGGTCGGCGGCGGCGAGGTACTGCACCTCGAAGGCGGTCCAGTCTCCGGCCGGTCTGTCCCACGCCAGCGTGATCTCTCGCGCTCCGACGGACGTCGCGTTCAACTGCGTCACGGGCAGCGGGACTGCGAATCGATTCGTTTCGGACGTATAGCGGACGCGCGTCTTCGAAGCAGAGCGAAGCGGAATAGAAAGCGGAAAAGAAAGCGGAAGACGGCCGAAGCCACAACGAGACACACGAAAGCGATAGCGAGTGCTGACTGAGCCGAAGCGTGAAGGTGCAGAGCTAAGAACCTGAACCGCCAGTTAATACCAACCCAGACTTCATGCGAGGTTATTAAGTGCAGCAGACA